CCCGACGTAACCAACGAATGTCCTGCATGTGAAGGGTTCCGCACGACACCAACCACCTATGATCCAATCCCGCCGAAACAGCGCGTTCTCTGTGCCTATCTTGTGTTGAAATTGTTGGCAACGATTGTGGGTTTTAGGACGGGTAGGCTGAGAAAACGGCCTTGTCGGGTATTTTTCGGGTTGATCTGGTATCGAAGAACAAAACATCGTGAGATCGCCTAGAACCAAGTATCGGGACAACGGCACACTATCACAATCATCAAGAAAAAACAAGGTTTTCAAGCCGCATGCGATCGTGATATGCAGAGACAACTCCCAAACCTGTTAGAACACAACCATTCGCATGGCAACTGAGTGTCTGCTCATGTTATTGGAAAGACATCTATACAGCGAGGCTGAAATGCTCCCTGCTAAGTTGCAAACTACTTCCGTCAAAATAATTCCTGTTGAGCTATAATAGAGCAAACTATCTTTTTGTGGTTACTTTTGTTGTGGCGGCGAACATAAACCCGACTAGATCGGGGACATAGCCATTAGTTGAGTGGGGTTTAGGTTGCTTGCGAAGATATGTCTCGAGTCGTCAAGCGTCTCTCCGCATGCCGGGCACTCGTTGCGCACATCTGCATCCAGGTTTTTCGGGTACGAGTTTAATCTGCTTAAGAGCAAAGTAGGGCTATTGTGGTCCGAATAGAGATGGGTAACTCAGCACTGAGCGGAGCTATTGAGCTGACTCTCAGCAGTGTGGTGCACGCTCAGACTCACAACTAAAAAAAAACATGTCTCAGTAACTTATGAAAATAAAGACGAAAATTTGCAAAAAATTTAATAGTTGTGTGTGTCATCAGCTCTACAGCGCATACCAATTATATTCCTCTTAACAGCTCTACAGTGCCAGCCAGCTCGACTCTAGGCTGTGTTGCCTGACAGCAGAGTGTCATAGCTCAATTGTGCCACCTCACTTAGCTGACTCATTAAAATGAGCTTGGGTCGTTGAGTTAACTTTCTAAAATTCAATGAGTTATCTAGCCGTAGGACTCCCTAGTCTTCCACGTCTGGTGGTTGTGATCCCAAAACGGCATTCACAGGTCGAGAGTCAGTGTAGGTATGCACTGTCTGTCGGGTCCAGAGGTTGTGCTTTATGAACCTCTGAACTTCGTCCGTCCGTTCGTATAGACGCCTTCTAACGTGCCGTGGCGAGGGCCGCAAGTAAGTGTCTGTTCGAGTACCCGATTCGGTGACACCCTACTAAGAATTGCTTGCAGACCATTATGTTATGCTCCCTAACGGAGAGCATTTGAACCTCGTTATATAGATGATGTTGTGGCGACATCAGAATGCATCCGGTTGCTGTCCGTAGTGCCGTGTTTTGGCACGTCTGTAGCTTTTTCCACTGCGTCCTACTAATCTCCGGCCACCACACAGGTGCTGCGTAGTTTAGAACCGGCCGGCCAATTGCCTTGTATGTTGCCAGCCAGTTGCCTTTGTCCCAGGTGCTGCCGGCTAGCGATTTGAGGTCCTCGTTGTGGCTCTGTATTTTATTGACAATTGCGGGTTTGCGCGCCGATAAGGAGAGCAGACTATCGAGAGTTGCTCTGAGAAATTTCGGATCATTCATCATCGGAATTTATATGCCATCGACGTGAATTCCCAATTGTAATTTGACCACATTCGTGCAGGTGGTAAACAAGGTTGCCGCGGACTTTGTAGAGAAGAGGGTTAGCCTTCTCGTAGTGAAGAACCGAGATAGTTCGGAGATTTTGAGAGCTTTGAAACGTAATAGTTAAACAATAGCGGGAAAAGGACACCACTCTGTGTACCTCCCCTTTAATTTTCCTTGGCTTGCTTGTTTTGTCTCTAAAAGTTACTGACGAATGTGGACCACTCAGCTAATTCCCCGGCCACCGTTCGAGTCCCTGTGTGCGAGAGAAAGCCTCAATATCTTTTAGTAGGGTGGAGTGACTAACGGTTTCAAACGCCTTTGACAAATCCAACGCTACTAGGACTGTTCTCTCACAGTGGCGGTTACGGTTTAGGCCACGTGCTATCTGAGTATTTATGGTGTTAACTGCTGTTGTTGTGCTATGCACTTTACAGAACCCTCGCTGGGGTAAGGTTATTTGTGTAATGTGGGAGTAGCAAGGTCTATACTGTCATCGCTACCTGCTAAAGGCCGGATTCCCCGGTTTGAGCAGTAGGACCAGCCACTCCATTTTTGATAGACATTTTGAGGGCCCTGGTAAGGTCCAGGGCCCAATTTTTTCAAGATCAACATGCATATTCCGTCGGGTCCTATGGCTTTGTAGGCTTTCGCCTTCCCAATGGCTAGTTTAACCTCATCGCTGGTGAAAGCAAGAGACGCGCTTGCTGTTGGCGGTTTGTGAGGTCGGGACACACTCGACGTTGTCGGCGAAAGTAGCTACGCATCGCTGCGGGTCCGACGAAGCGCGGGCGCCGAAAGAGATTTCGACTCTGTTGTCACGCTTCGTCGGGTTGGACCACGGTTGATCGAAGCTTGCTCACACCAGAGGTGAAGTTGCAAGTCTTCATATGCTCTCCCCACTTCTTCGGCTTATGTACGTTCACGTTGCGGATAATCGGGCTCGAATCTTCACATACGATATCTATTACTCGTCACGTAAAAACACATTTCTTTCATTATGGCATACGAATGCCATAATGAACGTACTCTTTATTCCATTCAGCTTATAGGACTGACGTATCACGTAATTTTCTTTCGTATGATTTTCGATCCGTGAACGGATGTTACGGTCTGACACCGAGCAGATTGTCGGAGGAACTGGGAGTTGTTGGTGCCGGCGTGTGGGTGATGGTGCGATTATGTCTGTGGTGGTGGTGTTAACGGTGTTAGACCGCCAAAATATCAGCTCCCGTTGTTCCGGTACGCAGAACCGGCTGTCATGGGCATGAGAAAAGAACATTAATTTTATTTGGCACAGTCTAATAGACATATCGCTGGATTAGAATACAAAGTTGCTAAGTCCATTTTTTTAATTGTACAGGAGAAAAAACCTTCTTATTGAAATTATTTTCAAGTATTTCGCAAATCTTTGAAATCAACGTTTTGTGTGTTTAACAACCCTATTCTCACAACACTGACAAAATTCATCGTATGACTATTGCCACAATTGCTGCGCCTAAAACACAATTATAAACATTTTTTCGCCATTGTCGCGTACTCAGTAGGTCATAACAATAACACTGACAATTGTCACCATACGAGAGCTTAAAATAAATTTGCAGCATAGTATTAGGCGCAGTAGTACAGGCAATAGTCAGCCGCTGAGTTTTGTCATTGGCGTGGGAATGGGGCTGTAAAGCAAAGCAAGCCTCCATACGAATAAGGATTCGATTTTTATTAAAAGATTTCGCATTATTTTGGTTTTATCGGATTTTCGGTGCCTCTTTTTGACTTTGCCTTTCATTGAATATAAACGAGAAAAAAAAATACCTCAATCCTTTTCGAAGCGATGCATTTTTAATATCCCTTGCCTTATATATAAAAATATAAGTTTTCATAAAAGTTGACTTAACAACTTTTCACCCTAAGCTAGCGATATGCTGATTTTATTTCCGTTGATTCAAATGTTTTCAGTGTTTCAAACACTACAGTCATCATTTCCTTTTCAATTTTCATCTAATTTATCAGATCAATTTTATTATGCATACATACATATAAAATAAAAAGAGAAAATAAATCTAGTATACTTTAGTTTCTTTTTGTTTTAATTATGTATATGTTAAATCGCTGTATATGTGTTTTGTTTTTTATTTTCAATTTTTTTTTCGTTTTGTTACCTATTTTTATTTAGTTAATTTTATCTGGAATATAGGAAAATATATGTATATGTTTATTTATAAATTATTTGTATAATATACACATGCAAGTATGTATGTATGTTTAATATACACATGTTTATGTAATTAAATTTCGTGTTGCTTTATTTTTTATGCAAACTGCATTCTGCAATTTAACTTATAGAGAATCAATTATTTTCTTTATGTGTATATACTTATAAAAAATTACATCAGGTTGTACCGTTAAAACTTATTTCATCTCAACTTCTTTACTCCAGTGATGTTAGATATTAAAAAGGAGGGAGGTAAAAAAAACCAAAGTCACTGCAACAGAAACGAAAATTACAAAATAAAAAAAAATAATACAAAATATATACACCCCGATTCACTTAAACAGCCAGTTGCTATTCTAGTGAATCAAAATAATAAAACATTTTTCGTGTAATCTGATAAAAGCGGAATAAAAACCAAAGCAATCAAGGTATTTTCTTCATTTTCGCCACTTTTATTAGAAATACGATGCCCAAAAATCAAGAATATTGAAGAAAAAAAGTGTCTGTTGAACTGACTCGGGGTGTATGCATATCAATAAAAATTAAAACAACACAAGCTGAAATCGGTTTTACGTATTTTTTTGTTTTATTTTAACTATATTTTCGGTTTTTATTTATATTCAATGAATAATATAAATCATATTTAATTGCGTTAAGGAGCTCAACGTCTACACTATGTATGTATGTATGTATTTGTATTCTGTATGGTATTTGTGTTTGCATAAATTTTATAAAAATCGTTGTTACTCCTTAACTTAGTTAAGTTTTAAATGTTTTGCAAAAAATTATAATAGTTTTATATAATTGTGTAAATTGCGTTAGAAAAAATAATAATTATTTATATTAAATCGCACAAAAATTTAAAACTATAAGCCGAAAAATGAAGACTTTTAATTGCACAGGAATAAAGTTTTTCTTTTATTTTTTGTTTTTTGTTGTTGTTGTTTGATATTATCTTTTTCTTCTTTTACTTGATTGGAGAACTGTGTATAAGAGGTAAATTTTTTTCACAAATACAAAATGACAACGTAGCTTGTTTCAACTTAAAAAAGGACACAAAATCAAAAAGCAAAATTTAAATGAAATACATATATTTCGATAGTAAAGAAATGTCTTCGGTATGTATTAAAGTTATGCACATAAAATTATTTAAAAATTGCAATAGCGAGCACTTAGCAAGAACCCGTTTACAGCATTCAGTTGCGATTTTCACCAATTACAGGCAGCATAATATTGTGAATTGATTCGTTCGTAGGATTTAAGAGGGAACATTACGGATTTATAATAAGTATAAACTCGTTTATATTATGTATGTATGTATATAATATATAATGTATGTATATATATTATATATATATTCAATTAAATACAAATATAAAACAATTCACTTTAACATTATTTCGAAAAAAATCATGGTTTATATTTAAAGAAAATATATTGCTATCAACTATGTATTCCCCGCTAACGAATTTATGTTTTCATATGCGCCTATCTCTTCATGAATAACCAAAAATGATTACAAGGGAGGTTGGCAAATATGTATTAAAGTTGTCTGCGCTTTTTATTTCTATGTTATTGAATTATCTGTTCGATTTACGTTCATATTTTCGTTGCATTTTGCGTTTACAATCGCTCGCAATTATGTATATAAATGTATCTACTGTATTTGTATGAAGAGTAAAACATTTGTTGCAAAAAAAAAATTCTTTTACGAAAGCATTTTCAAACGACAGTGGATGAACGCATTGCGAAATAATATTTCATAGATTGTAACAAATTTGTTTGCATGCCAAAAAATCTAAAAAGACGAACGTTAATGCATAAGGGATAAGTATTTTTTTGCACATTCAAGCAGATCAAAAATTATTTCCTTAAGATTTGGGGGTTTTAATTTTTGGAGCATTTTGGTAATTTGGTTTGCAAAAGATCAACTGACTGATCTACCTCTCCACATATCAACAACGATATTCAAACAAAAATGCGTATGCGTAATACATATGTATTTCAAATTGCCCATAATGTTTTAACTTTCGATCGCGTAACAAACGAAAACTTCAAATAAAATTTGCAAAAAAATTGAAAAGCAAAGTGGATATTTTGCCTGTTGAACATGAGAAGTTAGCCGCAACAAAATCCTTATTTGTGTACGCATAGGTCAAAACCCACGTTACACTTAAATTGAACACAGAATTACAGAAAGCGCTTAACTTTAAGAATATTGAATTTAAAATTTCGATGCCGTCTTTTTTGTGATTTGGGTGTGGTTGCCTGCTTTAGTATTTTTTTTTCTAGTAATCCTAGGCGAAAATTGCAACATATTTATATATTTGATTTTAGAACAAAAACGCTTTGTATGGACAACCTTCGATTCAACACTCACACGTATTTGTGAGTGGGCGTGTATATGCGTGTGTTGGTCTCCTACCCAAATTTGATCCTTAGATTTCTTGTTTAGGTCTTCAAGATTTTTTTTTTAACGTTTGCCTTTTAGTTACATACATGTTTTTTAATATATTTTGATGCGTTTGCACTTTTTACTGTTTTTTTGTCTGATTTTTTTGTAAACTTTTTACTTATAACTTTTGTTAGTTATTGTTTTTTCTGTCTAAATTTGTTTAATTTAGTTTTTCGGTCCCCATGCTGATGTTAAGGGTGAAGACACTGGTGCTGGACCTCCAGCTGCGAAATCTGGGAAATCCTCCTGCGACTGAGTATTGGGTGCAGAGCTCTTGCCGTGTCTGTCGTTAGTTTTTTCCCATGGTGCATCTTTAATAACAAAACCATTTTCATTACCGCCAGGTAGGAAGGCCGCCACTGTCTGAGGCTGTGGTGATGGTGGCAAATTGTCCAAATATTCGTTGGTATAGTCCTCAGCCATATTGAGTATAACTTCCTTGGCATTTTCGACATCCTCCTCTTTGCCGATAATAGTTACGGCGTTGGGATTATTTTGAGCATCGTCAGAGGAAGCGAATTTGATGTCGACCTATAAATAAAAAATGCATAAGTTGTGGGTATTCAGGCAATATACATACAAACAACACGTTTTCTTAAGGTATATTCCTGAATATCCGAAACTTTCACATAAGTAACCCTCATAGGTCAGCGTAAATCCTACTGTGAGTTTTCAGACTAATATCCCAATATGAAACAGATCGAAACAAGTAATTTTTACGCAAAAAACAAAACCGACTTCAATTCCCTTAAAAAAATTTAAGATTATCGTTAATTTCTTCATGATCCAATGTCGGATTTAAACCAGATTAGTATGGTAACACAGTAGCGTGTTCCAAAGTTATTCGGTAACATACATAAAAAAATATTCCGACGAACTGATAACCTTCTCCTATTTGTGAAGTCGGTTAATAAATTTAAGTAAAAGATTTGAAATTTCAAGAAAAAGCAATTGCTAAGTGTTTATTCATAAGGCCCATTGACAATCCCACTCTGTCCGTCCTTTAAAGTGGTGCAAAAAACGTGTACTATAACGAACAAAGATGAGAAGGTTTTTGCAGCTTTCGAGAGAACTATTATGCCCAAGATCTAAGACCCTATTCCTAAATTGGATGGGGGAACAATGGGCGCGAATTGAATTAAAACAATTAATCAAGACACTATTCACAACTTCCTTTTATGTTAACCTTTATAGTTTCTTACCTTATAATCTTCGATTATCTTGCGTATGGTCCGACCACGATGTCCGATTATGTGCGAATGTATGCGCGAGTCTACTTCGATTACCTCACGATATAAATCCTGCAAGTCTCCGACAATTTCCATAATTGCATCACGCGCGGCTTCGGTGTTGGTCTGGTAGCCAGTGATGGTGATGATTCGTGGATCGGGATCTGTACGTTTTGGCAGCGAGATTTGCACGTCATGATCGGCGCGTAGCTTATTGATTACGGCACCGCGACGACCAATCAATTTTGAGTGATACTGGGTATCCACATCGATTTTCAATTCATACGAACGAAGCTCACGATCGGCACGATCTGCTTCGTACTCTTCAATCATTTTGTCTAAAGCTGCCTCAGCTTCCGCTACGTGCGCCGGTGTGCCACTAAGTTTGATCAAGTCCGACTTTGTTTCGCTGGGCGGCAACTCAATGTGCACATCATAAGTTGACATGAATTGACGTACGTTGGCACCTTTCGGACCGATGATTGTGCGATGCAGATCGTAGGGCACTTCTAGCTCCTTGACGATCGGTATCAAATCAATCAAAGCTTGCTTTGCCGCTTCGCACTTTTCCAGGCGACCGCTTATGCGAATAATATCACATTCCCGCACAGGCTCCACATTTTCATCACCATCCTCACCACTGCCATTGGTACCATTTACCAAACCCTCAACTGGATTAGTAGCATCGCGATCCGGAAATTTAATGTTAACATCGTGCTCAGAAGTCACTTGCTGTACCTTGAAGCCGCGTGCACCCATTATGGTACGATGTAGTCGCTGTGGAATAACTACATCAATGGTGACCATCGCCTCTAAATCGCCAACAATTTCAGCAATACGTAGCTTCGCCGCCTCAATGCAATCTTTGGGGCCCTTCAAGGTAACCTTGTCGGAATCGATACCCTGCCGCGGGAAAGAAATCAAAACGCCACCGTTTTCTTCGGAAATGCGATGTAAGATTTCGCCACGCTTGGCGACGAAGTTCTTGTGAAATTTAGGATCGACGGAGATCTCCCCCTCGGTCACTTGATCAATATCTTTAATAATGGCCTCCAATTGCTCTTTGGCCGATTTCACACTATCCTCTTTGCCAATGATTATTATAACCTCCTTATCTTCATCCTCATTGGAAGGGAAAATTATGCGGGCACCAGTAGCATCGCGAATCTTGCGGATGGAAGCGCCATTTTTGCCGATCAGGAATTTATGATGCTGCTGTTTGGCACGGACCTCAGCAGTGAATGAAGCCAATTGACGTTCGTTGGCAAGTTCGAGCAGTTGAGCTTTGGCTTTTTCCACATCGTCCTTTGGACCTCGAATTGTAACCTTCATAAAAATGCGAGGGATTAAATTTAATACAAATGCAAAAAAAAAAAAGAATTGGGGAATTTCCACTCTTACCTTATCGCTCTTCGAGTCGCTGGTGGGGAACTTAATCGAAACGCCACCACATTCTTCCATAATGGCAGATATTAGTTTACCTCCTGTGCCAATGATGGAATTGTAAAACTTCGGTGAAATTTGTACCTCTTCCGTAACAATATCGGACAACTCGTTTTGAATCTTTTGAATACGTTCCTTGGCCTCCAACACATTTTCTTTCTTTCCTGTGATCACAATCACTTCGTTCGTATCGCCCTCAGCCGGCAAGTCGATTTTCGTTTGTGTTTCATCACGTATTTTTTTGATATTGGCACCGCCCTTGCCGATGACGAATTTGTGGAACTGCTTGAAGATTGGTACCTCAATGATGTGTGATGACTCCTGTATCTCCTTAACTAGTTTCAGCAAATCTTTGTGGCACTTGTCGACATCCTCTTTCGGACCACGGAGCTTAACAATATCGGTATTTTCTTGAGGACTTGGTATGGTGATAGTAACTTGACGATAGCGATCCTTAATCTCACGTATCTTCTCACCCTTGGCACCAATAATCGAACGATGCAAACGGCGATCGATGATAACATCCTTTGACTTTTCATTTTCCAGTTTATCGATTTTTTCTTGTAATTCAAGCTGAGCCTGTTGAACGCCCTCCTTCGGACCTTCAATACGTATGGTATTCTGACCTTCACGCTCTTCAATATATATGTTTACGTTCAGTTCGTCCTTTAAACGATTCACGTTTGCGCCAGCCTTACCAATGATATGCTTATAGTAGGATGGATTCACGGTCATCACCGCATACGTATAGTGGTCCAAGTAGTTGCGCACAATATCGTTGAGATAGTTTGTTGCTTGGTCAACACGTTCTGGATCGCCTTCTAGTTTGATTTTATCGTCCAGACAGAAGACATTCACATTCGGGCATTCCTCCTCCAGTTGACGCATATTGGCACCTTTGCGCCCGATAACATACTTATGCGTCCAGTTAGGCGCTTCGATCTCAACTGATTTAACAGAGTTGGCCTTTTGGTAAACAACGGTCAACGCATTGCCCAAGGCCACTTGCGGTCCGCGCAAAGTTATTGTCTCCAATGGCGAATCCGTGGGTGGCATCTCAACTGAAACTCCAGTGATGCGAAGAATATCCGCCAACGTTGAACCTTTCGGACCGATCACATAGCGATGCTGCGACTTCGCAACTTCAACACTAACAGTGGAGCACTTCTTTTCCATCTCTTTATATATGGCTTCCACCTTGGCTTTTGCATTGGCTACAGCATCTTTCTCGCCCGAAATTACAATCTCGTCCTTTTGTACCGACTGTGGTGGCACATTGATCTTCGCGCCAGTTTCCTCCATCAACTTGGCGAGATTTTCATTATTGGGGCCAACGATAAACGGATGATACACTTTTGGCACCGAAGTGCGGTCCGTGCACTTCTTATTCTGTTCAGCCGACAATTGGCGGATCTCTTGCTCGGCCTTTTCAACGCCCTCTTTAGTACCTGAAATTGTGATGACATCACTCTCCTCCGTTTGGGTGGGAATATTGATGCGTGTTGCGGTTACACGCTCTAGCTCGTGCAAGCGGTCGCCGCGTCTACCAAGAATGACTTTATGATGTTCTTTCGGTATCGAAACGTGTTTGATAGCTTGCATAGAGAACTGTATCAAAATGCGCCGACGTGCATCCAGGATTTCGTTTTGCTTGCCCTTAATCAAGAAGGTCAAAGATTGATTCTTGCCAGTTGCGATTTCAATTTGAGCGCCTGTATCTTTAGAAATTTGCTGACAGATACGTTTCGATTCACCCTCACCAAACTTGTCGGATTCAGTGGATTTACGTTCTTCGCCAGATACGTGCAGCACCTAATGAGAGCACATCAAACATATGTATGTAAATATAAACGTGAAACATTCTAACACTTCGGTTTGGCAATTTTTGGTGCTTACCTGAGTTTTTTGCGATGTTGTTACACGCACACATGCTGGGGCAGCGTTACTGCTAAGTGGTGCAGAGGTATTTGCTGGCAATGCCGGGAACAAGTCATCATAGCTAAAAGTTGGTGTTGGATTGCTGGTGGTGCCGCTATTGGTGCTTGTCGGCGTAGCGACTGAAGTGGGTGAAGACGGTTGCTCGAGCTGGGCCTGCTCTTGTTGGTTGTTGGTGATAGTGGTAGTGTTGATGGGTTGCTCAACGGTATCTACTGCAGTAAGAAAAAGTGTAATTTAGAATTTAAACGAAACATGATTTATTCTGTATGCACTTATTTAATACGAACCGTTTGATTCTTCCATCACTGCTGCTTGCATTACTTAAAAAAGAGAAGAGTCCTTTTTCGTTCCAAGTCGTTACAGTACCACTAGAAAGGCAAAAGAAATCGTATTTCAGCATTCGAACGCTACCAATTTACAATTAGTGCATACTTATAGTCTAAAAAGATATTTGCCGCACTAAACTGCCTTAATCAATTACCATTGAAAGTTAAAAAAAAAAAAAAGAATCTGACTTCATCTTCATCATCACTTTCACCATCAGTGAACTTAAATAAAAATATGTGTATGCTAAAATAGTTAATAAAGAAAATCAAATACACTATTATAGTAAAGATGCCAATTAAACATTTATTGAATTTCACAAATCTATTTTGGGTACGGTGAAACGAAAACAAGTCTACCCTTACGCTTATATTTTCCATACCAAATTTTTATTGCTTTTGTTTTCAAAATATAGTTCATTCAACAGCAAAACTACCATTTTAATTTCATACTCGGGAGAAAATGCAAGAAATTTTCAGCAAAATTTAAAATTTTTTTCTTTCATATATATTAAAAAGGATTGTGTTCATGCGACATGTTTAGCAACTTAATTAATGGGCTACAAAATAGTTTACTTATAATTTTTCCATGAATTTCAAAAATTTCTTCAAATAAATTTTTAAATGTGTTCTTAAAACTTGCAAAGAAATTTGGGAAAGAAATATCACCGTTTTAGTTTTTAAGAGTAAGGTGGGAGCGTAGCACAGAGCGAGACCGAGTCTTACTCACAAAACCTTTCATTATTAAAGCTTGGTAGAAAACTACAAAAAATTCAACAAATTTACACCTAAATTTCAAACTTTTTTCTCAGAAGTGTTCAAATTTTTTTGAGTACGCAGTTTTATAGCCTATTCAATTTTAGTCTAACAATGTGCAAATTTGAAGCGCCTGAAAATTACCGTTGATTAATTAGAATTTTTTTCGTTGAAGGTGTTGAGGGTTTCTTCCATATAAAAATAAATTGTGTTTATTCGTTATATGGAAGCAAATGTGACAAAAAAAAATTCTAAAAAACCAACGGTAATTTGTAGCCACTTAAAACTTTCACATTATCAGACTAAAATTGAATGGGCTATAAAACTGCGTACTCAAAAAATTCTATCACTTCAGAGAAAAAAGTTTGAAATTTAGGTGAAAATTTATTGAATTTTTTTGTCGTCTTTTACAAAGTTCAAAAAGTGGGCTTATATGGGTTTTGTTAGAGAATGAACTGTATTTTAATGGAAAATTCTTAAAAATTAATAATTAAACATATGTGGCAAACAATATCACTTTGAAATGGGGGTGCTATAGATATGGCCAATACTGTATGTAGTATATGTATATGCATACAAAAAAAGTTTTTTTCAATTATTTTTGGTTCTGCTAGTATGAATCAATAATAAATTGAATTAAAACGGTAAACGTTTATTTTCTTAATTAAACTTTTATGAGCAATTCATAAGTGCAACATTTTTGGTTTTTAGTGAAAATTTTTGGTTGCCCTACTTATTATGTACTTCATGTAAACCAAGTTTTCCAAAAAAAAATGTTCCAGTAGAGGTGTGGTGTTGGGAACGATAACGCGTTTCTAATATCATTGTTCTACAAAATAAAGCATGCCACACGATTCTATTTCCTGCCAACTGACGCCAATTTTAAGCGCCAAGCATATATATTTTTAATTAGAAGCCAGTTCAGTTTTTTCGTAAATCGTACACAGTACCCATGCATACATTTTGCTGCATTATCTGGCTTCATTGTATATATCCAAGCGAGTATCTAATCTTATCAACCTACATTTGTAAGTGAATAGCAATTTGAAATACATACGTCTCAATTGTAAATTAGTGACTGATTAGAAAAAAAAAAAATACTTTTTTATTGCATGTATAATGTAAGGGAATATGATAAGAATATAAAATTTGTTTTCTCCGGAGCACTGCATCCAAAGATTGCTTAGCGTTCCACCGTCAACTACATAGAGGGTCTCGACTGATAAGGAAATATTCTGAGATAATTGACGCCGAAGCATATTTACATACATACATATACAGGCGTGATTGGGCAAAAAACATAAACTTTTAGTTCGACGCAGCTGTACACGAGGTTTATGTAAGTTAAATAAATTTATGAGCTATAAAAATGCCGGCGATAAGACTTAGGAAAGAATGGAGTCGAATGAATAAAACGCCACTAGTTGAAATTTAGACACGTCACGTCTTCAGTCATTCTATTTTGTATTTTTTTTTTTTTTTTCAATTCTTAACTATTCTCACGTACTTGGTGTCATTACATGCTAGGGGAAAAAATCGACATGATCCATGCGATGTCTTTAATGTTTTACTTCCGTAAAGGGGAAATTAAAAATAAAAATTTGTAAAAATTATAGTTCAAGAAATTCCACTCAGAAATCCATGTTAGACGACACGAGAGACTGCAGAACACAGTAATACGAAACGGAGGTTTATGTTGTAATTGTTGTTACAGCATACAAATTCCCCAAAGAGTGTCAGTCCTTGTCCAGATATGAATCTGGGTAGTTCCGGTTACGTTTGCCTGACTATGGTGGAAATGTGGAGGTTTACACCTCCCATATCAAAATTCCCTAAAGAAGGTTTAGCCTCTATACCTTTTTTTCTATACGTATTTAAAATTGGATATTTGCCTCTGGAATTCTTCTGGATAGTATTGGTATCTTACAGTTTTTGAAATCTATTTTTGATGTTTGTTATGTTACGAAGATATTTCGTTATTTATGTAATTATACGTATTGCATTATCAAGAGGAAAATGTTTAGGTTATATGTTCTATATGCTAAATATTTTTTATATTTTGTGTATACATATCGTCGTTTAAAGTACAAAACCGCGTACCGTCATTCTGCAAAACCGCGTATCTCACATTTGCTGCCAAAAATTGGATTTGCTCACACAAGCTCTTGGCTCAATCCTAATCCATTTGTACTGATATATACTAGCCAGAAATGCGATTGCTTTATAAAAAAGAGAACAATTTTGAAATATGCGTGTTTTTACTCTCTAGAAAACAATTTATGCAACAACCTCACTAACGTGGTTTTGCACTTTGATGATACGCAGTTTTGTACTTTAAACGACGATATGTAGATACAATAGTGAGTGACATAATGATATTGACAATTTTTGCCTATTTTCTTCAAATTAATTTTAATTATTTACTATAAAAATATAGTTCATTCTATAACAAAAACTATGCATATGGGCAAATCGTAGCGTGCGGACGTTACGTTCGGACGCTTCTTTTAACTTTTTGGCCGAAAAAAAAATTATAAGTTAACTTTTTTTTTGTGGTATAAGGGAGGTTTACAGCNGCATAGGAGCAGATGGAATTTTATTTTCAACGAAATTTTGATCTATGATTATGTACAAAGACAGTTATGTAAGCCGTTTTGGTTGGCATTTTAGTCATAGCTATGGTTGCTTCAAGACCACTGTGACCTATGAGAACAAAATAATGGAAATTTGAATTTGAATTAATGTCTGTGGATTTTCCTTCGACGTTTGTGTTCGGACGTTACAGAAAAAGGAAGCAATTTTGATATGACCAACAAAGTCAGCGCCAATTGTAATGTATGGAGAACAAAATCTAAAATAATACTTTGAAGAAAAAATAATGAAGTTAACAACAATATGTATTATAAAACCAAACTAAAGGTTGGATTAACTTTAAAACAATTGCATATGTGCGTTCGGGACGTTATGTTACGGACGTTACTCATTTTGCCGTTGAAAACAGTTAGTTTTTTTAAATCGATGTTGTTGTATTTTATTAAAAGATATAGTGCTTAAAACCAAGGCCGCTGTGGTGTAGTGGTAAGCAGTGCGCGCTTCCACTCCGCAACGCCTGGGTTCAAACCCTGGTCAAAGTAACATGGCAAAAAAATAGAAAAAAGTTTTTTCTTAACAGCGGTCGTCCCTCGGCAGGCAATGGCAAACCTCAGAGTGTATTTCTGCCATGAAAAACTGCTTCTCATAAAAATACAATCGCCGTTCGGAGTCGGCGTAAAACTGTAGGTCCCTCCGCTTTATTTTCGATACAAAAACTCTAAAATTTGAATTGCATGTATTTTTTCAGATTTTGGTTGACTATTTCTCTGATTCGCCCATATACATTAGACTGTATTTCTCCACTTACAAAACAAAATCAGTACGGGTTTTCCAATGAAATTATAAAATATATTATATTTTATTGGCCTTATTCATAAAAAATAAAGTAGGGTTAAAGAGCTCTATAAAGTGACATTTTCATACAAAAATTCGATTTATAAAGCAGTTAAAGTGTTCTTTGTTTTTTATGAATTTGGGTATATGACTTTCGCCAAAATATTTCGGAAAAATATTAAGATTTACGTGAGCTTGATCGCTTTGAAAATACCTCAAAAAATGGAGATGTATTTTCTCACTCTTTTTATTTCTTTGCAAATACATAACACCATTTTTTTTTTTGTGCAAATATCAACACATCTTAATTCAGCTTGGAATGCCAGTCATTCATTTTATCTTACTCTTTCATACTCAGGGCTATCACAGAATCCATCGTAGTCCGATTTTTCGTGGAACCTACGAAAGTGATCACATTTTGGTAGATTTCACGGATTCTGTAATTCTTACGTAGCGCACTGCTACGGACACGTATGGATGGAGTCTCTTCAGGTGGCAAAGCAATCCCTCCTATTCTGATATTTCTGTTAAATTAAATATAGTTTTTCTTCCTCACTACAATATTTTAGCTTTAAATAGTAAAATTAAAAAGCGATACAAGAATTCAATATATTCATGGCGTTCCGAATGTCTGTTGTAAATTGAATGCCATTTTTACTCAAGGACATAGTTTAGCGCGAATTTAAAAAAAAGTCAAGTAATTTTATTTCATCGAATTCTGCTGGATCCATTAAATGCATAAATAATATAGCGATAAGAGCAAGCATTTAAACTCTAACATACATAAATATTGTAGAGAAAGAATGCCTCATTACATTAGCAAGTTGTAAGATCGATTTCTGTTTATGCCATTAATAGAAACCAACAACTATTGAGTTGTAGCAGCGCTATAGTAGTCGCCTCCCGCTTGGAAAAATCTTACGAAAACAATCAGTAATTCAGTGCGCAACGCAACGGAAAGTGGTAGTACTGGTAACAGGCAGCTAACCAGCCAACGCCAATTGGGGCCATCGTCATTGTGAGATTTCTTGCTTTTTATGCTTATGTATTTTAGTGTTTTTTTTTCATATTTTAATTCTTGCTTTTTGAATGCCGAATGAAGCCAGCACCTCACCTAGCCCACATTTCTCTGTCTACAAATCTACAAAGATAGACAAGAATTTGTATGCAAACGGCACAACTGCAGCGCCGACACAACTGCAGCGCTGACACCGCTGCCGAACAACTAACTAACAGTGCTTAAAGGTAAGTAGTTGCTTTCAAGTTGGGGTACGAAAATGTGTCAAAAGAATGTGGTGGAGATATAAAGAAAACCGGATAGGATCTACCGCCGTCATCGTCACCACAAGCAATACCAACACCAACAAATAACCGCCAACGACACTGGCCAAGCTTTCGTTCGGGCTATTCGGGCGGAGAAAAAGCGGTAGCGGTAGACGACACGGAATAGCGAAGCCGGTACAATGAACAAGTGAAGTGTGTTGGTGCGTATTTATGTATGTATGTACATCTCTTTGAATTCAAGTTAACGTAGATCGTGCTGTCGGTCTGTTGGAGTAATTCGAGTGCTTCAACAGTAGACTGCAACAGGTAAAACCAACAAATTGTGTTTTTTTTTTGTTTTTTTTTTTTTTTTTGAAGCAGACTAGTAAAACGTGTGACTGAATGCTTCTCTGCGTTTAACAGCTTCTTCCACTGATGGTATTAAGTATATTTTTCTTATTTTTTGCTGCTTTACCTGCATTCTTGTTTTGAGGTTTTCACTTTTCGAATACAGCTAAGGGATTGCTTACAAAAATAACTACAAATTCGTGCTAAGCATAAACAAAAATAAAATAAAATAAAATCTTTTATTAAAAAGCTTTGTGCCTCTACGGTAATTTGTTTGAATCGAGATAAATTAAATATAATATAACTTCGTATGTATGTACATATATATGTATTTTATATATTCATATACATAAATACAAATGTATACATATATGAATCACAATTGCAACTAGGCAGCCTCAAATTGGTAAGCATCGCATTTACCATTATGATCGCCATCGCCAACGTAGCGCTAGCAGCACCGAAAAAGACATTTTGTCGACGTGTCAGCTAGCGCGATTCAACACAATTTCACAAATTTGGAAACTTCTGATCGTAGCGATCATGGCAGCGACTGCGTGAAGCTACATACACAACGCGTCAGCAAATGACAGCAGCTATTTTATTTTTCTTTTCTACTTGTTCATTGTGTATAGGTACAACAGTGTGTATATATTTTGTATTTAGTGCTGCTCGTATTGGCCATATACGAGCCATATTTTAAACCTTATCACATGGCGTTTTAATAATAATTAAACTGACGATGCCGTATATTTTGAAGACAGTCGCAGCTGAGCAAAACGGATGCATATTAAAATTTCAATATTTACATAAAAGTATCAAAAAAAAACATTTAAGATAGATATGCGCAACTACAAAATGTGGTCTGGCCCTGATTGTATTGAACAGTTTCAGTGCCAGCAGATTGAATATGCATAGCCATTGATTGCAGCTCCTCCAGATGTGCTTTTTTCCTTCTAGCGGCAGCGCCGCGTTCTAACGAAGGCGCAGTGGGGCTTTTACTGTCATATGGGAGCATGTTGATCTGGGCTTGCAGGCGGCAATTTACGAATAATAATGCAAGTTTTAAGCTTGTATTTAGGCGTCATTAGCTTCCTAAATCTCTTGAAGTTGTAAACGCATATGAGTTTTTATCCCATCGTAGCCCATATGTATGTGGGATCTTCTAATCAACCGCTCATCTGGACTTAGCTCTTCCCTATTGTTGTTGTTGTTGTAGCGTCAACTAAACCCCGCTCGGGTCGGTTCATCCATTAACGTTGTCGTTTCAGCTAAGGGGAGGCCCAGGAAGTGCGAAACTTCAACAGGATCTGGCCATAGGGACAGGGGCGTTAGTTCTTCCCTGATACTATGTGGTTGTTGTAGTATCATAAAAATTAATGACAGTACTTGGCAGATGAGGCTGGGTCATTCCGTTTACGTAAAACCGCCAGTCACGGGTTGTTGTAGCTGCATACAAATTCCCCAAAAAGTTTTTGGGGAGTGTTGCTGGAGTGACAGGTCTTGGCCAGATATAAATCTGGGTCGTTCCGGTTCCAGTCACAAGTCTCTATCTCCTCCATCATTTACATTCTGTTGCTTCCTATCAGTTGCACCGTGTTGTCTTCTCCTATATTATTGATTTCCTCTAAACGTTTCCATACCATTCGTGATTTAATTTCACATGGATATGTGAAATATTTGCGTAGGTACTACCTTTGGGTAAGGGCCCGAAAGTTGTTTTCTAGAATTGTCTCTGTGATGCTTTGCTGTTACGTGGTCTAGTTTTAACACCCCCATCTACATACGCGATATTTTTTTGCATTTAACTATGCTTTTTCTCAACAAGTTTAAAAGGGCATTCTAAGCGGTATATTCTGTGAATATGTGTGGTGGTGTCAAGATTATCATTATTAGATAGCTTTCTCAAGTAGTTCATCTGCCAATCAACTCCGCAACTGACCCGAAATTACACTCAATATTTTCCTGAATGATTTTATTTCTTTCTAGCGTTCCGACCGTTATAGTTTGTGGCATTAATTGCTGCAATTAATCTGGAACCAGACCATTTGGATTCCTTTTTTCTAGGATCCCTGAACGGTCTCATATAAGGTGTCATGAGCAACTTCAATGTATAAAAACGCGCATAACCGTACCTCACCTCGCTTGATGTATCCGTTGATCTATAGGTGGCTAGACCGTAGCATAACGAAATTGGTATTATTGGTTGACGTTATACTATGATCTATAATTTTCTCCTCCTAAATAATTTAAACTTTTATTAGATTTATCCAGAAACGTCTCGCGTGGTAATGATAATTAAAATTACAAATGATGGAGGGACAGAGTGAGTTAAGTTACCTAATGATTACTATTGTTGTTGGTGTTGTAACTCTCATACCGACCACTGTCATAATTCAAACGAGTTGGTTGTTACATACTTTTTAGTAAGCCATACATGAAACTAACTTCTGACTCGATAGATAAATACACTAACTAATATCAGAGATTTTACCATGATGACTTTAATTCGCTTCAACATTGCGCAAATGTGCCAGCTCCACACTGATCGCACATACTTAAGTACTTTCACCGTTTAAACCTGCAATTCATTTATCCCACCGATACCAGTTTGTCATTAATATAACTGCTTTATCTGACTTCATTTTTAACCAAGGATCATACCAAGGGCAATACCTACATATGTATGTATGCTGTGTAAACTCACAGCAGTGCTTTCATTTCAGTTTATAGACAATTATGAAGTATGGTTAACTTACTGTACTGTAAATTCCAAAAAATCCGGCCTATTTAACTGCTGCCTCTGTGAAATCCAGTTTGATAACTTGGGGTGTCCTCTGCTGAAAATAAATTAAATCGAAAAAAAAACATTATGAAAACAAATAGTGATGAACTTTTTAGCTAGAGCATGCTCTACATGAATACATAAATGTAAAAGGAGAAAGTTGTTTGAATTCTTGTAACATTTCTTAAGCTCATCAATTATGCTGCAAATCTGTTCCATTGTGGTCTCTGCGTGTGGGCGTGTTGGTATTTTTTTTTATGTGGGTTGGAATTATTTAAACGTTGCATACAAAACTCCGCTTTACAAAATATCCTTTGAAAACGTGTGCCTCTCGTTTCACACCGTGTAAAAAATATTTTTTTACATACATATATATGTACATATATATAAGTAGATCACTTTTATCAAACAATTTATCTTCAACTTAGCAGTTTTTTGCATAAATATCTTTCCATATTGTGCATAGCAGGGAATAATGCGATTTCATGATAAGAGGTGTGGAAAATGTGCGTGGCAAATTACCAACATTAAACTGACTCAGGGAAAAAATGTACACAAAAATTATTAATTTCGTCCGTCATACTTTAATAAACAGCTAATTAAGGGCAATATCAGTAATGCTGAGGCCTCTATAGATGCACGTATGTATATATATTAAGGCGTAAGTGCAGCACAATACGGCTTATCGCTGGATTTTCCTCAGACTTTTTATGATCGCGTGGCAAAATTAACTATCTCCTTACTGCAATGTATTGTAAACGGTACGACACTCACGACTTTAAGGAAAGTTAACTCTATATCACATCGAAAAAATGCAGTCTATTTCTCCTTCATTAGCAATTGCAACTTGAAAAGCAAGAATGAAAAGAAAAACGTGTTTTCCGCAGCATCGTTGTCATTAGCGCCGGCGTCAACGCCGACGTCGACTTCGACAGAATCAAAGTCGCTCGTCGTCAATGCAGCCAAAGCCGACAAAACTTCCACGTACAAAAACACAACAGTGTTGCCATTTACTTTTAAACTTGTAAATTCTACCATCCCACTTATCACTCATTTTTCTCGCCTATTTGCTATGGTTCCAGACTTTGAATGAAATTAACGAAGACCAGAAAATATCAATCGTTTCTAAGAAATTTCTTATCGGTCTCAGTTTAGGTAATTGAATTGCCCACTCCGTTCATCAATTCCACATGCATTCTACTTTTATTTTTCGTGTTTGTATTTGTGTTAGCCCACACTCTGCCAACGTCGGCGCAATCGTTCTGCTGTCAACGTAACCGCACCAGTGCTTTTGACTTGGTGGCACATCACAAAAACCCAACCGCCGCTGCTGCGACGGCGGCCTCAATTTCTTTTCCTTTCACATCTTTCGAACCACATTTATACACTTTGTTAATATTTTCGGCAATTTATAACACCAGTTCCACTAATCTAAGAAATGTTTTAGAATTGTTCTTTATCTACAAACTTTAACTATATAAGTGCCTAGATTTTGGCTGCGCACCGTGCAACAATATCGAAACGTACCGATTCTTAGACGACCAAGTGTTAAATGATATCGTGATGTCGTGTTAATTTCTGAGTTTCTTGATTTGCTTCACATTCTTTTCTTGCACAGTGTTGCATTCGCTGACAGGAAATACTTGAGGGTAACTCTACAAATGGCGATTTTAACACATTGGCATGCCAAAATATTTCACTATAAATTGATAACTTTTTCGCATACCTAAAGAATACGGACCTTTGAGCTAGAGAACATAGAAAAAGTGGACGTAGTGCGCCCCTTTCTGCTGAGTTTAATGATAAACTTTTTTTTGGTGCAAATTAACAGGGGCGGCGCTAGGGGGAGTACGCTAAGCATGGAATTTTCAACATTTTCAAGAGCTTATTTTCTAAACATGCACACAGTTGGAAAGGTCATTGAAGGACCTTTCAATCGATATATAGATCTATTTATATAATTTAAACATATAAAATGAAGTTGTGGCGATTAGTTGAAAGGAGGTTCAACCAAAAGTAGCATGCAAAGGTAAACAATGAAAACGCTTTTTTATGGCGAATATTTTTATATTTTTTTATATTTTGATATTTTAAGCCATCCATTTTTTTTCGTGCAACCCTGCGTGAGTTGAACGCAAAAGTTGCCTGAAAAATCGGCTCGTGCGACAGCCCTATTACTCATACGCTCCGTCAAACAAATTAAGCTCCACTGTGCATAAACACATGAAGGGTGTTCGGGGATACTTGACACACCGGTTGGGTTTGGCTCTTCACAAAAAGTGTGGAAGTATTAATAATACAACTTTCGTTCCTCAACTTTTCTGGATAAAACCTGTAAAATTGTCAAAAAGCAAAATTGATCTCAGAGAAAGAGAGAAAAACCAAAGAGTACTGGTAAAACTTTCAAATACACCGTGGAAGCCAGTTTTTGTTTACATAGCAGTTTATTTGTCATTAGCGATCTGCTAAATTATACGCAAATACACAAGCAAGGAGAATTTAGATTTTCGCCGCGGTAATTCTTAATGCCAAAATCAAGGTGTATTAAACATCATGATGTATGGACATCAGCGTATAATTTGTTATTGTAATTTTTTACTTATATACGGCCAACACCACCTTGTTAAATACGCCTTGGCCAAAATGGTGTGTTTGTTGTACTATGAATTCGCCTTGTTTACAACAAACACATCATTTTGACATTAGGAAGTACCGCGGCGAAAATCCAAATTCGCCATTAGCACCACCTCGTATAAATTCGCCTTGTACACAAGCAAATTACCAAAAATACTTGCAAAACTTGATATTTCTTCGCCACGATATACATATTTAATATAGCGCAAACTCAGCTGTACTTTTGTTTTTCCTAATTCAACTATCAAATGGTTTGAACAGATGAAAGGGCCCTTAAGGTCGGTTGTTCAATGCCTGATTTTCACTACTTCCCAGTTTAACATCATAATCGACGTTTCCGACATCATGCATATAATATTTGATCGATAAAGCAGTCGTTTTATTTAAACGGAGCTTCTACTTCCCATTTGTGTTAACCGGATATTGAACAAAAGGCCCTTAAGCAGATATTTGCCGTCATCGATTCGCCACTTCTCGCTCGCTATGTTTGAGTTCCGGTCGCTTAAAGAAGAATTTGGCATGTGAAAGCAACAACAAAGTAAGCTAGCTCGGATAGACGATAGCGAGTTTGGTTGTACCTCATTGAGTTCGTTCGTTTCGCCACTCGCTAACACCCGATTTACATGATTCAAGTACTTGAAAGCAATTCTTGCTCATTCTCTTTTGTGTTTTCTATTTGCTTTTACACGTTTCAATTCTGTTGAATTCAAGTTTTTGGTTCTTTAAATGGGAAGCAACGAAAATGCCAAAAGCAAAGCAAGAAAGTTTAAACGACTTGACGGTACAGACGCATGTGTACTCGTCCCTTTTCTTCTCACCCCCTCTCTTCCACATGCGAGCAGAATTGAATTCAATACTTGAACTGTGTAAAAGCAGTCTAACTGTTGGCGAATCGATGACGGCTATTAAGTACGCGGTCCTCAAGGTTATATGAATGGAGTCGATAACGATGTTTAACTGTGGATTTATGTTAACCAGACATGTTGAAAACATCCTGGAATCGTGTCTTTACACATTCCTTCTAACTGTAGTAGACCCTGTCTGCATTTTTGTTCGATACGTTTGCTCCTTACTAGGTTTGCCTGGTTTAAATTCCTTGAGCATCTCCAGAAACTGGTATTCTCTGACGCTATTCTTGGCCCTACCGCAAGTCATCGAGCTAGACGTACATATGTCCACTTACAGGAATCTCTGCAAACGTTGTTCGCAGGGTAGTGAGCTTATTACTAGAGGGCACAGGAGCCGCAGTGTTTGAAGTGCGATGTTCATTCCTTGTGCCATTCTTTTAATAGTGGTGGGTGCGATTGCACATGCTTTGTCCTTGTGGGCTTTCTGCCATAGAAGGAGTTCGGTGATGCGGTAGATGTAGTTGCAACGGTACAGAAATCCGTAGTAATCGGGTAAGGCTGAGTATCTCCCTAGTGCCAGGTGTATGAAGCATCATGTTCTCGATTCAGGTTCATAAAGATGCCCAAGCCTGACTTATCCTCGGTACAGATGGCAACTTCATTCGCTTTATCGCTCCAGCTGTTTGAAGGTTTAGGCCGAGATCAAAAACTTAGCCAACTTCATTGCTCTTTTGCGAAGTTCCATCAGTTGTTTATGCCAAGTGTGAACAGTTCCTCCTCTACTTTGTCCTTCTTCTTTTTTATTTTGTGGAGGCGCTTGCATTGTTGTATACCCATTGACAGCAAGAGCTATAAAAAGTTAAAATATTCTAAATGCTCTAATTTTCCCACAATATGTAGCTGTGGTTGTGGTGTATTATTGCTGATGTAGCTGATATATAATTATTGACATTAGGGTGGTACATTATGGAGGTAGGAACTGAGTGCAGTTGGGTAGGTACTAGAACGAGATACATGAGGTCAATTACCTTTGGAACAAAAAAAATTTCGCCGCGAGAGAAAAACTTCGATATATAATACTTTACGATGCAACAGTAAATGCCGACGATATGACGGAAAATGTAAGAGCCCTTTGTACGTTCGGCCAAAAGAAATACTTTTTTCGGAATTGCCTTGCAAAAATACTTTAGTATCAGGGGTGTTCGTAGAGTGCATGCATATATTTTTTCTCTACTTATGTATACATACATATGTACAGTGACTCAAACAAATGACCACGTGTTGATTTTTTTAAATATTCGTGGTGTTGTTCGAGCTAAATATTTTTTGTTATTTTAGTATAAACTTTGACCAAAAACATATAAATCACAGTTTCAAACTGTATAAAAAATTTAACAAATTTTCATCAAAATTTCAACTTCATCTGAATATTTAGAAAATTTTTGGGTATGCCGGTGATAGCCCATAAATTTTTAATCTGATGAAGTGCTAAAGAGACTGATTTTGCGGTGTTTTTTATAACAAGTTATTCATAAGGAACTCATTTTATTAACCGACTTCCAAAAAAGGAGGAGGTTATCAATTCGTCGGAATATTTTTTTTTTTTTTTTTTTTGTTTTTTATGTATGTTACCGCATAACTTTGGACCATGTGAACCGATTTCGATAATTTGCATCGGAAAGGTAGTGTCTCAGAGGTGGTCCCATACTAATCTGGTTGAGATCCGATCAGTGGATCATGAGATATATATATATATATTTTTTTTTATATGGGAGTTGAAGTCGGTTTTTTTTTTGCTCAAAATTACTTGTTTTATAAGGAATTCATGCTCATATGGAATAAATTGCAAAATTCCGTCACAAAAAAAAATTGAAACTTGCACTTCATCAGACTAAAATTGTATGGGCCACAAAACTCCATACGAAAAAATATTCTTAAGATTCATATGTATTAAAAAGTTGAAATTTTGATGAAAATTTGTTGAATTTTCTTAAATTTTGGTTAAAGTTTGAACAGTACTTTTGTAGAAAAATACAAAAAAATGTGTCTCGAAAAACATCACGAATATTAAAAAAAATAAATAAAAATCAATACGCGGTCATTTGTTTGAGTCACTATATGATTTGTAAGTATGTATTAAATACTACATGAAGTAAGATGTTTATGCTTTTTATTGAAAGTGAATTTTCTCGTGTTTAAAAATCTAAAATTAATAATTGCACAGTATTGCTTGAGTAGAACTGTTGAAGCGTGAAAATTACACATGCAACACACAACAGTCTTTTAATAAAGTACAAAACGTTTCTAATATTCCAGTCAAACTCTTAGAAAGTTAACACAAAGTGCGGTTAAAATGTATTTGCTCAAATTCCTCTTCCTTTGCAATATTTTCTTTTGGGGAAATGTCGTCACTGTGCTAGGACAATTTAATAGTAATGAAAAACTAGAGATCCATAAATACATATAATACAAAAACAAAAAATATTAAATTAAGTATATATTTACAGTGACACTTTACAAGGAAATGCCGCCATTGTATCAATTTGATGACTACGATCAATGCCTCCGATTCAATGGCGACAGCTCCTTCACTAAGGCGACGTACTGTGGCGTGTATGCGGAAATTGTAGCTAATAAATCTTCAACTCTTTGGAATGAAATTTCCAGGATCTCTTTGGACAATCTGCATCACTTCAGGCATGATCACTTGTTTTTTGGAGTATGCCTACAACGCTGTAAGAAACTATTGAAACCATTCGCCAAAATCCGTATTAACGAGCTATCACAAAATGCGGACATTCAGGATATTGAGGTTGGTTCTAAAATTAGGTATCTACATATGTACATACATACATATGTACATTTATTTATATGTGCGAAAACTTGTGACATCAATGCAAATTTCAGCTTCTTAATTACTACATTAACGTACATAAGCGCGAAACTGACAAACGTGTTCAGCATGGAAAAGTTCTTAGCAGCTGTCTAAATTATGAATTTCAGAAAAGATATGGACTAAAATTGCGTACAAGCGTTGAGTACTGCGAGGAAGCGCAAACACCATTGAAAAATGGTAAAATATTTTCTCGATTATTTTCAATTTGTAATTATACGTAAAATTGAAATATGGTTTA